GGTATGAATATACAAGTACCCATACTGATGTTCTTACTCAACCATTATTCTATCAATGAACAAATAAAGCCAGTGACTTTTTAGGTTTTTAGGTCTGGGTTACATACTAGTATAAAAGCTCTACTACAACTTACATTCCCATATTTTTAGAAAACATCTTATTATTTTATTCCGAAGTTAGCAGCTCAAACTACAGAATATTAAAAGAATTCTGTCTTCTCTTCTCTCTAAATTCAGACTTCCAGTATCTGAAAACAGAAGGAATGACAGCTGACTTAATTATAACTCCATCTTCACATTCTTATGAAAATGATATTTTATATTCTCCAAATTCATTTAGAACAATAATCATTTGTCTGAAGACAGTACTTTTTGTTCCTAATCAATTTCTCTCCTCTCCTCTCTCTCTCTCTCTCCCCCTCCCCCTACAAGCTGGTCTTGCTATGCCAGGAAGGAAGCAGATACAAAGCCCTCTGAGACTTATGTTTTAGATTTCAAAGTTAATAATGCTTATCAAAATAAAATTTTCATGAAACACTATCACTAACTTCAACCTGATTAAACTGCCTAAAACAATGAAGAGTCCTATCAGTTGGAGATTTACAGACCATGTTAATATTTAATCTTTAAGAGGGAAATCATATAGGAACAAATGAACTTAATAGAGATAGTTCTACCATTGCGTATACAAGGTGAGAAATAAACTGAGAATAAAAAGTGAGCATGGCTGTCTTTATTGTGCATAGAATTTCAATTTTTGTATAGCAGTTTATAAAACAAATATTGGCCACACAAAATTTCTAAGACTACTGAAACACAACTCATCTAAATCAGAAGGTATCCATGAAAATAATAAGCTCTAAATTAAACACATATATATAAGACAGACACAGATAAGCACCTTAAAAAGCAGTTTAGGTTGTTGGGTATGGTGGTTTTTGCCTCTAATTCCAACACCCAGGAGGCTGAGGCAGGAGGATTGCTTTGAGTTCCAGGCCAGCCTTGGCTCCACCAGGTGAGATTCTATCTCAAAAAAAAAAAAAGTCCAAATAGGATACCTCCAGACAGATATTAAACCCTCTAAGTATGAGGTGGAAGTACTTCCCAAATAGCTATGGTGGACTCAGGCCTGAAATGATATATATTTGATTATAAGCAAATAGGCAAATAGTAAAGCTAAATGTCATATATAAATTATGAATATCCTAAATCTCTTGATTTTTGCTGTTTTTTTATTTTTGTCTACTGTTAACTTTGATTTTACTAATCTTACTTCCTTAAGATTGTTCAGCAAGTAATTAAAATTTTATAGGATAAAAAAAGTTTAAACCAAAATCCCAACATTTCTGACTATATCCCAATTACACAATATATTGATAGAGAGATTTAAATGAACTTTAGACTTCAGTGTGAATTTACTTTCACATAATTACATTAATAATGCCCAAACTATCACATTAAACACTACCTGCAGCTGCTGGGACAGTAACTCACTCCTGTAATTCCAGCATTTGGGAGGCAGAGGTAGGCAGATCAATATGAGTTCAAGGCCAGCGTGAGCTATGTTGTGACTTCTACCTAGGCCAGCTAGGGCTACACAGTGAGACCCTGTCTAAAAAAAAAAAAAAATGCAGCTGGGAGTGGTAATGCTTTAATCCCAGCACTCCGGAGGCAGAGGCAGGCGGACCTCTGTGAGTTCAAGGCCAGCCTGGTCTACATAGTGAGCTCCAGGACAGCTGGGGCTACAGGGAGACCCTGTCTCAAAAAGACCAAAAAAAAAAAATTCCTGCTAGGCCAAGTTTTGTGACCCATGTCTACAATCACAGCACTCAGGAGGCCAAGGCAGGGTGGCCAGTCTTGGTAGCATAAGAAGATTTTCTCTCTAAAACAAGCCAAAAAGGCACCTGCCTTTAAAATCTGAGTATTGTTTTAAGACAAAAATAAAAAAATAAAAATAAGTCATGGTTCATTCATTCATTATATAAACATCTTATGTTCACCGAGCAAAATACTCAATATGATTATTCATGCCCTCATGCCCTACAATGTAGCCCGGCATGGTGGTGCACGCCTTTAATCCCAGCACTTGGGAGGCAGAGGCAGGCGGATCTTTGTGTGTTCAAGGCCTGCCTGGTCTACACAGTGAGTTCCAGGACAGCTGGGGCTACAGGGAGACCCTGTCTCAAAAAAACCAAAAAAAAAAAAAAATTGACAATGTAATAAATACAAAATAATATGGGGCAACTGAATGCGTACATACAGAAGTGTTTAGTAATAATAATAGTAGTACAATAATTAGGAAAAGCTTTCCTAGGGAGCTATTAAATCAACTAGTAATATTTTAATTATAGGACTTGCACACTGAAAAAGCAAAGAAGGAAATCAGCAAGCATATTTTAAGCTGAAAGCTATGTTAGGGAACTAATGAAATGAATCTGGAGCAGGCAGTAAAACATTAATTTTACATTCAATACAACAGGAAATAACACTATAAATACTTGGATAACAGAAGGAGAATGTGAATAAAATGTTATTTGATGAAGATGTTTCTTTCATTACCTATATGTAGGGCAGGCTCTACTGATGGAAATAAAACTAACAAAATTTGTCTCAGTTAACCAAAGGTTTTGTGTTAATGTGGTTAAACAAGTCCTTCAATAGTCAGGTGACAGGCTGGGCTGTTAGCAGAAAGTTAAAATACTGTTAGTACTAGTGTCCCTTTGGAATCAAATCATCGCAATTTTTTTAAGTTTTGTACTACTAACAAACTTTAAAGGCAGAGGACCTTGAGTGTATGGCAGATTAAGAAAGTTCCATTTGTCTGCTTTCAATGTTGTATAAAAGGAAACCCTGATACTTCCATGAGGCACACCTGGTTTAAGACTAAGTAGAATAAAGTTCATTATATTGACTGTCCCAGAGTGAATCAGACTTTTAATCCAACTTGATATAACACAGATAACAAAGTTCAATTATAAATTTTAAAATGTGTTAACACATTAATGCTGCACTTTTCTATCTTTTGTGTAAGATCTTTGTGATAGTATTCTGAAGTTGATACCAATTGTTATAGGTAAACTGGAGACAAAAGGATTTAATACCATACTTTCTTGACATAAACACAGTGCAGCCACACTCCTCCCGTTCAGGGATTGCCTGTTCCATCTACCACTCTTACAAACATTTTTCAACCTTGACTGAGGAAAATCAAACAGGTTATGCTACTCATGTATTCTTCTTAAGAGCAACCCATAATTTCATCATAAATTAGAGCAGGCAGGTAGCACGTGAGTCACAAAGGGTTTTGTCACACCAAAGTATACCTTTATTCTCCTGAATATAGACCTCAGCCTACAGAGTAATAAAGAAAAAAAATCAAACTGGCAATAAATTTATTTTGAGGGAAAAATAGGAACAACTTTAAAATTATATATATA